CCTAACTTCTCTTCTCTGGCCACCAGCTGGAGCCACTTGGCTGTGATGTGTACAGAATTTCCTTAGGCGGCAACCTTCACTGCATCATTTCAAACACTGCAGCAAGTCCTGGTTGTTCGCTGTTATTATTTAGGAGTTTTGACCAGAACCCTCAAATGGACAAATCTATTGCTGCTGCTATTGTTTTAAATTAAGTTATCCATTGATGGTGTTCAAGATTTGGGTATTTTTAGCAGACACACTGAAATTTGCCCCCAAACACTAGAGTATCAATCATAAAGATATGGCAATAAAAATCATTCTCACCTTTTAGCCTTCAAAGTAAGTAATAAGAAAAAAATTTAATCTTTATAATGTTGAAGGAGATCAAATATGAAGAGATTTGTACACAAACTCAGTCAGGTTGTGTATAATGGGGAGAAACAAAAGTAATTGCTGGGCTTTGAGGTACACACCTATAATTCCAATTACTAGGGAGCCTAAGTTAGGCAGATCTCACGTTCAAGGCTAGTCTGGGCAATTTAGCAACAGCTAGTCTCAAAATAAAAAATAAAAAGGCCTAGGGGTATACCTCAGTGTCAGAGCACTTGTCTGGCAAGCACAAGGCCCTCGTTTAATTTCTAGTACAGCAAGAAAAAAGGAAAGCAGGCAAGAAGAAAGGAAACATAGTCCTCTGTCTGACAAGAAGGCCTGCCAACAGTTTGGTCTACTAGACACATAACTAAGTCATATTGACACAGTGGCTATAAATCCTTCACTCTTATTTATTGCACCTTTTAAGCAGAGGACCCTATAATAAAAGTTTGGGACGCTGGAAATGGGTTTCGTAATTTATCGATAACAGAATTGAAAATGAATTGATTTAGTTCATTCCTGAGTGAAAATATGGCCATATTTTTATATGGAGAGTGGCATAGCTTGGGTGCATTACTGAATGTGGTTTTGAGTAGGTTTATTTTTGTCGTTCTTAGAGAATTCCTTCACATGCAGGACAACAAGCTCCAATTCAGCAGATGAAGTTCTGAAGCTTCTCAAGATAAAAACAGGGCCGGGGATACACAGCTCAGTGGCACAAGCTCCTGCCTGGCAAACACAAGATCCTGAGTTTGGTTTCCAGAACCAAAAAAAAAAAGACAGGAACTGTTACCTCAAGTTACACTGAGCAGTCTTGCATATTTAAGATTTAAAATGCATAGAACTTTTAGACACATTTAATGGAATCACCCTTCTGATGTGAGATAAATGTGATTCTTTTCTGATCACAGACTAAGATGTACGGGTCATCTCTACATCCCTGAATTACAACACACCGTGGATCCCAGTTAATCTCTGCTATACACTAAGCACAAAAACAAATGTACAGGGATAAAAATGAGGCTGGCTTTATCTATCATGCAAAACTAACACGGTCAGCACTTCTTACTATACTGGCTACTGAGCTTAATTATCAAAGGGCTAGCACAAAGCCAATTATATTAGTGTGTCTGGTTCTAGTTGAATCTTTTTTCTGCAGTCAGTGGAATCAAAGAAGCTTTGCTAATATTCATGGGTCCTTATTTAATCAATCTGTTTTTGGCAAACCGATGTAAGGCTGCAGTTTTTATGTAGTCTGTTAGCATTTCATAATGTATCTCCAGTCACTCTTAGTAAAATGATGTTGACCATATATGGTACCTGAGAGTTACATACACTTTCAAGTAGACTTACACTTTCTTGTCTGAAATAGCATCTCCCATCACATTTCCTTTACTCAATTTTCCCCCCATTGTGCTGACTTTCTGAAACTGTTCTAGAAATAATTTTTTGCCTGCTCCTTCCATGAAAATGCAAGCTGGGTGAGGGCAAAAACTCTGTCTTATCATCCTATCTGCAGTACTCATATATCTAGGTCTCACACGTAGTAGGTGTTCAGTAACTATGCACTGAATGAACAAACTTATAGTTTGGTCTGGGACATTGAAGTTTCCAACAGGATCTATATTCTGTACTAGTACAATAATTTTATACTAGTGAGAATGCTAAGAACTACTTATTTACAGATATAAAATGTGGACTGGAAATTTGTTATTTTCCTATGCCCCTGGCCCTTGATAACCTCTTTTTTTTTTTTTTTTTTTTTTTTTTTTTTTT